AGACACTTCTCCATGGCAAAGATGAGACAAGTTTTAAATATTTACAATAACCGTAAACAAAAAGGTTTGGGAAACCACTCCCCCGAAGAAATGAAAAACAACCCTGACTTAGAGAAAGACTATATATTTAATAATTTAGTCAAAAGAGACAAACAAGAAAGAATGCCGGGCTTCAAACTTCAGAAAGGTGACAAAGTAAAAATAGAAATACCTAAACGCGACCCATATGAAAATACTATTGACTATGACAACAATGGGAACCCGACAGGTACTCACATTCGTGTTCGTAAAAATAGAAGAAAGTATACAAGAGAATATTATGAAGTTTTAGGCAAACATGGCAAAATGTACACACTGCAAGCAGAAGATAAAACGACTATTGTCAGACCTCGTTTCAAACTTGTCAAAGTTCAAGGTGGTATACTTTCAAAGACAGTTCCTAACAAATATAAGACAACTCCTGACGAATATGCTAAAGAAGTGGAACATGACGACTAAGCATTTCTATACCATGCGTAAACTGTCATGTAAGGTGGCATGTAGTCTTTACTTTGTCCCGTTGTTTGCGTATACCCTGAAACGCGATGTGTATGGTTTCCTCCTCAGTGTTACTCCAGTAACAATCTATAGCAAACTTAACGTTGTCTTTAACATCATATCCTTTACCTTTTGTCATTGCTGACCAATCCCAATATCTATGCTTATGCCAACCTGCTTGAGATGTACTTAAATCTATGTAGTGACTGTGTGCAGGTAAATTTTCACCTGAAATCGTTTTACTTCCACCTGTTTCCTTTGAAGAGTTTGCACAATACAAAAACCTGTCGACTATTTGAGTCCAAGTTCCAAAACCAAGTACTACTTCTGGTCTGGTAGAGTTCATTGACGTATAAATAGAGCCTATAGGATACAATGTTTGAAGTATTTCTGTCTTTAATGTTTGAAGCTCTGTTTTGTCTGCTTTTTTATCTAACTCACTAGCCACATATGTTTTATCTGCTTTCTTCTCTAACTCACTAGCCACATATGTTTTGTCTGCTTTCTTCTCTAACTCACTAGCCACATATGTTTTATCTGCTTTAAGGTCTAAACATTCTGAAACCCATCCTGTATCGGCTTTAGTTTTTAAAATCTTCGATGTCCATTCATGATACCATTCAACCCTTTCTATAATTTCATTATCTTTTTCATTGACATATTCCTTATCCGCCTTCTTCACTAACACACTAGCCACACTAGCCACATATGTTTTATCTGCTTTTGTCTCTAATGTTTCTTGTAAGTTTGTAATATTTGCAATGGTATGTGTATGTCCAACGTCACTTTTACTGTTTAAGGTTTCTTGTAAGTTTGTAATATTTGCAATGGTATGTGTATGAGTCTTTTTAGAATATTCGTTTTCAGCTCTTGTCACTTCACTTGACATTTTATTGTCAACATATGTTTTGTCTGCTAGTTCAGGATGAGTATGTTCTTTTGTTGCATAAGCTTTGTTAGCTCTTTCTTCTTCTTTTGCTATTGCATCGTCTACATATGTTTTGTCAGCTTTGTTGTCAACATCTGCTTTCAAAAGAAGTTCATTTATAGGTTTCTCGTTTAAAGTTCCTTTTGTTGGATTTATACAAACAGTATGGTTCTTATTGTCTTGAAACAGAAACTCATCTGTCATTGGGTTTAATGTCAGTTTTAAGTTTCCTTCTTTCAATGACTCAGATATCTTAGAATAGTTTGAAAAGTTTGTTGTGTTCTTATTTAGAGCTTGTATAATGAGTTGTCGGTTGTGTTGTATTTCTCTCATAGACGCTGTTTCATTTGACATTTTTATTCTAGATAAAATATGCTTCCAATAGAAAAGGAAACTTCTAGAGTTGCTACAACTAAACCATTAGATGAACTTTTTACGAATGTCGGTCAAAAGTTTGAGACAGAGACCGTAAAGCATGAAGGCTATCGTTTTGACTACCCATTAAGATGGCTAAGAGACCATCCGTCACAAAAGCTATTGGCTTTCGTAGAATGAAGTTCATTTCAGAAGCCATACATGGTTTCCCATTTACGGTCGGTTTTGAAGTTCGATACTATAACAAAGAAAAACGTACGTATGAGAAATTTGAACAGGGAAAACTTTTACAAGTTAGTTTGCTTGTAAACTTAGAAACAACTCTTCAAGCTTTTCAAGAAAAAATAAACGATATCTATCTCGAATATGCAAACCAGTTTAACATTGACGAAGGAGAGTACCATCTCGATATTATATATGACAGGAAAAATGCAACTGTTAAAATCGATAGAATAGAAGACCTTGGAGAAAACGTTTATATTTCTACAAAATATAACAACTTGGCATGGTATAGATTTTTGAGGATGTTAAATCAGCCTGCAGAATATCCAGTACACCCGGACTTTTATGAAGTCGAAAACCCTAATGGAACATATGAAAATGTTTTCGACTCAGATGCTATTATAGTTCATGCTTCATTTTCTGGTGCACAAAACTCTTTTTTATGCTTGGCAAATGACTTTTACGAAAAACCTACAAAGTTATGAACCACCAAGTGGAAGTATTTCAGACTTTCAAGTATGGTTTACAACAGATGGAAGAAAGAGAATAGTTCCATTATACCATGCGTTTTACTTAGAACTTAGTTTCATATACAACTACTATCGAACGGTAAAAATATAATTTTTTAATACGGTTGAGGTGTTGGATTTGGTTGCCAACTAGACTGTGGTGCAGGTTCAGGCTGTTGTATAACAGGAGCTTGTTCTTCTGGTTCAGGGTCTTTAGGTATAATACCAACGAACTGACCTACTCTTTTACCAATATTTTTGACACCGTTCCAAATTCCTTTTCCTACGGTTTTTATTCCATTCCATATACCTCTTCCAACATTTCGAAAGAAGTTTCCAATACTACTGAAGAAACCCATTTTACTATATGTAAAAATCTAATGTCCGCCTAGTCTCTTACGTTTCCTGTTGAGTTCCATAGCATTCTTTAACTGGAGCTCATACATTCTGTTTCTCCTCTGGTAGAAAACATATTCTGGGTCAACTCCTGTGTTCGCGTCATCTGCATAGAGTTGTTTATATCCCACTTCAGGGTTTGTATAAAACTCTTTCCATCTCATATTTGCATACCATGGTGGCAAACCTAACGCAGCGTCATTTGACATGGCAGTTTGCATTTGTACATCTGTTGGCACTTGACCATAGTTTGCCATTGCAGTTTGTATTCTAACTTCATTTGGAATATTCTCTGGGTTTGGTTGTCCAGGTTGCTGTGCATTCGCTAAGTTCTGTGCGTCCATTTAATATTAGATAAAAATATCTCTTACGAGTACATATACTGAACATTTGCAGGCATTGGTTCATCTTCATATTCTCTGTACTTTTCTGCCACGTCAAATAAATAAATGACACAATGGAAAAAACCTAAAACAAGTAGTCCTATTTCAAACCACATTTACCTACCAATAAAATTTCTTTGTTGTGACACTTTTTCCGGTTTATAGGACCTCTCTCATATTCTATCTTGTCATATTTAAACACATAGTCATGTATGTCCTCTAACCATCTCATAACGGTTTCCAAACCACTTTTATCGGATGTAAAGTAAAAGCATGGATGGTTATGTAAAACGTCTAAAGTTTCTAAAGAGTCTCTCAAAGTCCAGTCTACTTGGTATTGAAAATCGTATGTGTTATAGAACGGCGGGTCTACTATAAAGAAAACATTTTCCTTGTCTTTAAATTTTTCATACAACTCTGTCCAATGACATCTCACAAACTCTATACCCTCAGTATATTTTTCTATGTCCTCTTTGAAAACCTTTGTATAGTTAAGATATAAAACGTTTGACATAAGTGTTTCAATGTCATGAACTCTTATAGAACCACTATATAATAGTCTAGCAGATATACTATCCCAGTCTATATATTCTGCTTTTTTCAAAACCTCTCTGACAATATTTTTCTTATCTAATGGTATACGTTCCATCTTACCTATAGGTATCTTTTCTTTCAACTCACTCAATATTTTGTTTGTGTCTGGTATATGTTTGAGACGGTTCATATAGTTGTCGAAGTCATTGCATATAATCTTTGAGTCAGGAAATACAGTATGGCACAAATGGGATATATAGAAACTTCCACCGAACAAATCTACAAATGTTAGACCATTCGGTAGTTTCTTAAGTTCTCTCAATAGAATATCTTTACATCTACTCTTATTTCCAAAGAAGGGTAACGGTGGTTTTGTAAAATTCATTTTATATATATAATAAAAATGTTTTTTCCTGAAAAGTGACAGAAAAGTGACTGGGGCTAGAGGGCACGAAGTGCCTGGAGGCCCCACTTCCTTTTTTTTTTTTTTTTTTTTTTTTATATCATATTATTTTGCATACATATGAGCGATACTGTTCATCACTAATAGCCAAATATTAGAATTTATTTATCAAGATTTTCAAGAGTGAATGGATCATTCCCCTTATTACATGGGAATCAAGGCTTAGTTGTGTAATTCTATCTTCTTAATAACTCATCCTTTATTTCATAACAACAATTGATGTCAGAAAACCAAATAAGACAATAAATGGTCATTATCTTCAGATAGTTTAGTTCTTCTTTAAAGCTACCTATGGACCTAGATGAAGTGTGCATGATCGATAACCTTGAATTCAATTGTACCAGAAGTGTCAAAAATTGTAATTCAAAAATTTTAGCTTCAAAATGGTGCATCCTTTAGAATTAATACAAATTAGTGATTTTGAAAATTTTCGAATTTGAGCTCTCCGATCACAGACAAAAAAGATGAGTAAAACAAGCGACGAGATGCTATCTAATTTTCTTTCCAATAACAAAGAATTTGCTAACTGCGTATATATTAACAAATCAGCAGCTGACGTCGCAAATATTTCAGATGATGACGTAATAAGTACACTTGGAGAACTTACTCATTTTTATAATTATAATATTGTACCGAGCCACCCTGAGAAACCTATGTTACCTCCATTGCCACAATTTTTAACTATAAAAGCATTAATGTTAATACATAGGCATTTTTATTTACAGGACAAACTCTATCGACTGCGATGCAAAAGTTATAAGAATTCTATAACAAAAATGGATGAATTGATCGATATACTAATTGAAGTTTCTAAAAAACAAAAGTTTCAATTTACTTTTAGCAAGACAAACATTCAATGGAACTTACTTGCAGACAATGACCATGCCATAAGGATCTCAGCAAAAGATAGCTTTACAGTTTCTGAGATTTCGATGCAGTCTCAGTTATATGAAAATTTTACTATTGAAGAAGGCCTTGTAGAACTTGTTAGACAGATGATTCAATCAACCGACAGATCACTCTCTACATTTCCCGACTCAGAATTACAAGAAGAATTCGATCATATTTTTAATAATCCACGCTTTATATTTAGCCAAGAATTTCAAGAATTATGTGATGCTTCGAAACTGTCATCACCTAAACATTTCGTTACTAAGACAATAAACCTTATGAATCGAGTTTTAAAGCATCTTCAACTTCGAACGCATGACGAGGTTTTTATTTTCTCAATTGCATTCTTCCGTGTTGTATTTGCGAAAACATTTCCAAGTAACCCAAGTTTCTTTAAAAATATCAATGAAACGCAGTTTAGAAATATTGATTCGAAATTAACACTTCAAAACATTGGAGCTCCCTTAAATTTATTACCAGACGCACAACCTACAGATCATCCTCGCGTTACAGCCCAGAAAATACCAGAAATTCTAGAAGCAGCAAAAATATTATCAGCTGCTTCTTTTATGACCTCTCCTTTAGACGTTTTATTAGTTATTCATAATACACTGCTGCTTCTCAAGAAGTATGCAGCAGCAGTGTCCGATGCTGATACTTCCTCGGCCTTTGAATCGATTTTTGGTCTTTTTATGCTGACTTTGGCCGTATCAGATTTGCCTTCGCCACAGGACACATTTGCTTTTGCTATTGATTTCACTCCGGCCACTGGATTATCTGGAGTTCTTGAATATGACAAAGCAACTGCAACGGCAGCAAAGATTCAGACTGACGCACTAATTATTCAGTATTCGTAATCTTTTTATTTTGTTTTTGTTTGTAAATTCTTATATTATTGAATAAAATATTAAACTTAATTAAAATTAAAACGAGACTAGATTTGATTAAAGTAGTTATCCCCATCTACATGATTTAATTCTCTGATTAAAAATACAAAATAATTGTTTTTGGCAATTCATATAAGTTGTAATTTCATAAAATATACATATTCCATTGCATGACGCTATATTTATGTTAAAAAATAATCTTTCTGATCTAGATACTGCCTAGAAAAAAATTTGCAATATTTTCCACGCCCACTTAGAAAAATTAAAAATAAAAGATGATTTATTTTAATTACCAATATGATACAGTAAAATACTGCTTATAATCATCTAAATAAAAATACAAACATAAATACAAGACAATAATTATTGTGAATTAAGTACAGCTTGTGCTACAGCTTCTTCAGTTGTTTGACTATCTGAAGCAAAAACAATGCGTCTAATAGAAGAATCTGACTTAACTAGTTTAGAAAGAAGATCTTTAGACTGCATAATTGTAGCTCTTGCTGTCTTTTCATCAATTGTTGACGGACAATCAGAGAATGGACGCAATTCTGTTAAAATATAAGTAATAAGCCGCTTCCTTTCTTTCTCAGCAATTGTTAGCTTTTCTGTGAATTTCTTAGTGAGATCTGATTCTGCAGAGGCAATCTTTTGCTGGCAAACTGTATCTGATAACCTCTTTTCGCGATCACATTCATCCCGAATGTTAGTATTATCTCTTGATAATTGTTTATTCTCTTTCTTAAGTTGAAGAATTGAGATTTGTGATTTCTTGATTGTTTCTTGTGCTTGTGATAATCTTTCACTTAATGACTCTACATCTTTTCTATGTAGATCACATTGTTCTTTAAGTGCACGTAATGCTTTTTCGTAGCTGTCAATTAATGCGGCTTTTTCAAGCTGGATTGTTGCAACTGAATCCTTCTTTGTTTTCTCGAGTTCTTCTTTGAGTTCATCAACTTCGGCAAGTTTTTCTTCAAGTGTTGATTTTTGAGTTGACAGTGCTTTTGTTGCTTGAACTAACTGGGTCTCTAAATCTTGAATTCTTGCATCTTTTTGTTTAATAATTCCGCCACTATTGTTCAAAACATCTTGCTGTATTTGCTTGATCTGCTGGTTGTGGTTGTTTTCAACTTCTTTGGCAGTTTCATTAGCCTTCTCAAGTTCACTCTGTAAATTAGCAACTTCATCATTTGCACGAGCTTTTTCTTTTGCCAAGTTTTGCTTTTCTGTTGTCAAGCGGCGGATATCATCATTAGCTTTTTGCAAGTTAAGCTCTAGATCTTGAATCTTATCATTATTTGTTTGTATTTCAGCTTCAAGTTGTTTGCGTTCACGCTTTGTATCATCCTCGTATGTTTCTAATTTGTCCTCTAGAGCTCTAAGTTTCTTTAGACGTTTTTCTCCGAGTTTAAGTTTTGCATTAATTGCTTCATGAACTTTCTTGACGTTTTCTGTCATTGTTGTTAAATCTCTTGTATCTTCAATTCCAAATGTTGAATTAAACATATCAACATAAGAATGCAAGAGTTGCAATTCTCTTTGAATATCAGATCTTTCACGAGGATAATCATTAAGAATTTGAACAAGTTTAGCAACAGTTGTTTCGCATAAAATCGAATTTGATTGAGGTGCTTCACCTGTGAAAGCAAGAGAAGCTGCAACAATCATTGATGATGCCATATCTTTAACTTTATCAAGAGCATCAGAAATTTCCTTGATTGCGTTATCTCTATGCTCCATTTGTTTTTCAAAGTATTGTATGATTATCTTGTATATTGCAGCAAGTTTTGAAGGTGGTTTTAATGAGTTATTTCTTGCAATCTTAGAAACATCCGAAGCAAGTGTTGAAGAGAATTCGGCGCATGACCATGCTGATATTGGCATAACATCTTCTTCTGTTACATTTTTCTTCCTTGACAATTTTTCTTTCTCGTCTGCGAGTTCGTTTTGAAGTGCATTATTTTCATCCTTCAATTGCAAAATTTCGTTTTCTAATGTTTGAATCTTTGTATTCAGTGATTTCATGTTGACTGAGAGATTATCACGCTCGAATTCAACATCCTTTAACTGCTTTGTTGTTTGATCAAGTGAAGATTCGAGTTGAACTAAAGCAGAGCGTTGTTTCTTTAATTCTTTCTTCAATGATAAGTCTAATTGCTTTTGTCTGTCAGTTGAAAGATTCTTAAGTGCTGCACGAAGAGTTTCTATTTCTTTGAGTGATTCAGAATGGACAGCTTGTAATGCCATCAATTCACTGTCCTTCTGTGATAAACTTGTTGCAAGATGAGCGCGATCATTTGTAAGATCCTGGTTTTCTTTAACAAGTCTATCATTCTTCTTAGATTCTTGCTTGATTTGATTTGTAAGTGTTGTTATCTGATCATTAAGCTGTTGCATAACCTGAACATTGTTTGTTTGAGGAACATCATCAACAGCATTTTGATTGATTGGTGCAGGTGAATAAATAGGAGATGGTTGAGCCATTGAAGGTTGTTGTGGAGCTATATATGATGGCTGCTGATTAATTGCTTTCGGAGCTCTATAAGAATCTTCTTTTTTAACGCTCAATCTATCTACTTTTTCTGTTAAGAATTGGATCTTTGATTGCAAAGAATTAACTGTACGTTGATTTTCACGCTGAATATTCTCCTTCTCCTCTTGAAGTTTAGTGAGCTTATCTTTGCTTTCTGAGGCTGCTTTGTTGAGCTTCTGTTCTGATTCAACAAGTGAACGTTTGTATGACTGAATCTGGGATCCAAGCTCATCAATTGTTGCCATTGCAGACTTTAACTGTGATTTATACTTCTTAATTCGTTCCTTTGAGATACTTTCGTCTGTTTCATATTGATCAGCCAATTTATCTAACTTTGGAGCTTTCTGATTTTCAGCTTGATGAATTGCTGGCTGATTTAAAGAACTATTATCAAATAATGTAATTAAAGAATCTAAATCAGCAACATCTGTTTGGAAATAGTGCTTTGCTGCATCCAAAACTTTTCCAATTTTGGCTGCGTGTACTTTCTGGGAAATAGCATCATTTTCACGAGCTTCTTGGATAGCTTTAACTTGATCAAGCAAAGCATCGTACTGTGTTTTGTAAATATTCTTAGTTTTTCGAACTTCGTTTTGAATCAGTGTGTCATATTCTTGTTTAAGTTGATTCTTGGCTTGTTTCTCTTTTTCAAGCTTATTTGTAAGATCATTGTTTGTCTTTGCACTTAATGAAATACGTTTTAATAAATCTTCGTTCTTGTTCTTTAGTTCTCTGATTTGAGATGTTAATTCTACGTTCTTAAGATTAACATCTTGAAGTTGATTAGCTGTTTGGATCGCTTGCTCAAATTGACTCTTCAATATACTATTTTCTTTAAAGAGAGCAGTATTCTTTTCCAAAAGTTGATCACAGTCAAGATTAGAGTGTGAGCAATCTTCTGAGTCATTTGTTATAGACTCTTGTGTTGCATTATGCTCACAATCTGATGATTCAAACATGATTATGCTAAATTCAAAACGGCCATCTGATATGTTTAGCTTTTTTATTCTACTAAAGTTATGGGTTTGGTAGAGCATATGCATGAAAATAATTTTAATCTAAATTTAAAGCTTTAATCCATTCAGAAAATATTAATTCCAAATTAGACCAAGTGCTGAATATATCATGCTGTGCACACGTATACAATCGAAATTTAGCAGTAAAGGAGGTTGAATTTAAGATGATGATAATATATTTGGAATATTTCACGATATCTTTTATAATTTTTGAATATTGAATCAGAACATCAGTGTAGAAATGTAATAGTAATAGTGTTTGATCAAATAAATTCCTCTTGTAATGCTACACACATTTAAATATTGTAGATGTTTTGATATCATGTATTTTTTTCATAAGAGATCCTAAAGCATAAGTGATTATAGGTTTTATTTCTATGATAAATAAAATCCATGTTACCAGGCCCTTAAAATCAGATGTTTCTGGAAGGATTGATTGAATTCATTAATCCTCTGGATCAGATAGCATAAGACATACAAATCATGTCACATGTTATTTTGCATACCAATTCATAAGTATAATGACCTATATCTGGAAATTACTGGATTTCACTGGTGAGAAAACATTATCCTTTCAAATTTGGCTCTTTAAAAGACTATCCCTGATGAATCTTTACCATTACTTCATAATTACTTGCAAATATTCTCTCCTCATTCAAGTTTACTAAATGTTTCGTATTTGCATTCAAGCCTAAATAAATTCATATCATTATTATATGCCTACTAAAGAAATCCAAGGTATTCATTATATAATAAGAATGGGGAACAATAAAAAAATCATATATTAAAAAAAATGATTTTGTCAAAGAAAGTAAGTTGGAAACTTATATGTTTCGACTACAGTAGTTAAAACCCCAACGTTTTCTTTGGTAAATCATGAGTAAAAATAATAAATATTTTGTTTGATTATGGGAGATGCTGTAAAATCAAATAAACCTTTATTTATGAAAGCGTTCTGAGCACTTTAATCGTACTTCTTGAAGCCGAGGAGTTCAGCGCGCTCGCGGAAGCATCTACGGCAGATGTTAAGGCGGTATTGGCGGATGACACCGCGGCGCTTGCCACAGATACGGCAGGAGCGCTCGACGGAGCCCTTTGCATTATCACGTGGGTGCTTTGGAACGAAGTCGACTGGCATTGCTAAAAAGGACGTTCATCGACCAAAACCGTAAAATTCCCACAATTATTTTTTAAAAGTGTGAGACCCTTCTCATCGAATTCATTCTTTCGGAAAACACGAATATTTGAACCATGTACCTAATAGTTTGGAATTCTCTCGTTTTATACTGCTAAATATTCGGAAATTGCGAATATCAAAAAAATACGTCAGTTCGTGTTAGATATACTTCTCCATTCCAAAGATTGTCTTTGTGTTGCAGTATTTCAAGTCCTATAAAGGTAATCATCTATCTGATATCTAAATCGAAATAAAAAATAGGGTATATGCATAAAATCCGGTAAAGGAACATGCAGCATGACATCATGAGACAACCAATTTATTCTGACTATTATATCTTACTGAATAAAATTTCAAATTCTTTCTAATCTGAAAACAAAGAATGATTGAATCTTATTATTATCGATTGTCTATAACAACCTGCATTAATTGAATTAAAAAGAAAATAATTTAATTAAACAACTAACTTTTATTCAAAGATATTAGTATTAGAACCCGCCTGCATTTAACCAACAGCATACATAATAATCTTAATCTTCCATAGCTCTAGAGTGGAAGACCTGTTTCAACTGTCTCTTTGCTTCAAGTTTTCCATCCTTTCTCTGATCGAAGTCCTGTTTAAGTTGGTTGAGATCTACTTTCTCTACTCTTCTTCTTGGAGGAGCCTTTGGTTTTGTCTGTTTCTTTGCTTCTACAATCTTTGGACCACCCTCGTTTTTTGCGGCCATTTCCATCAAGAAAGCCATTTCTGCTTCTTCATCGATTCCCTGTTTCTTCTTTTGCTTGTTCTTCTTAGGTGCAAGAGTAGGAGCAACAGGAGGAGCTGGAGCATTCGTTGGTTGGCTCTGTTTTTCATCTGTAACTTCGATTTCGATTTCTTTGACTTCACCTGTCTTCAAATCAATTGTTCTCTTCTTTATTGTGCCTTGGAATGAAGATACAGGCAAACAACGTGGAACACTCTGGAATGCAGAGAATATTTCACTAGGAAACGCATACATGATGCATTTAATCAATGGTTGAACCCTTTCTATATCTAATGTCTTTGTAAGTTCTTTTCCGAAGCAGGAAGAGAAATTACCATTAGTTATATTGCCACCACAATCGTAAATGAAGCTAAACAGTCTGCCATTGAAGAATCTTTCAGGTTCATAAAGTTGTTTCTTCAATCCAAGCAGTTGCTGAAGCCATACGATATGCTGGACAGCTGATTGATACAATGCCGAAACATGGGACTTCCTCGGCGAAGGTTTTGTCATCGGGATTTTGACATTCGACAAATCAAGGAAAGAACAGCAAACAGCTAATGAACAAAGAGCTTTAAACTCGAAACAGTCTAAGCACGGTGCTCCTTGTATGTTGAAATCTCTTTGAAGATCAGATTTTTCTTGTGGAGTCTTCGTAAATGGCGTTTGGATATCTGTGAAGCATGTAGATAACAAGAAACGTATGGCCAAGGCTGGAGTTCTGATGGGTTCTTCGATTTTATTTAATGGATCGTCAGGAATCGAAGGCGCAGCTGGGAAATACTTGTGAACAACTTGATAAAGGATCTTGTATTTATCTGGCTCATTGGCAAATAGAGTTTCTGTGATAACTGGTACTGTTTGTTCCCATTGAATAGATCTAGTGCTTGGTCCGTCATTTTGGATGAAATGTTCAGTGACAGTATCTCTGTTGAGTAAAGCGAAGTAAGCTTTTCTGAAAGGAATCATTGTTTTTAGAGTATTTACGTCATGAGAATAAACATCGTAAAAAATTTCAAGCCAAAGGTCATTTTCTTCATCAACTAATGGAGCCCATGGTGGATATTTGCCTTTTTCTGTATCAATTCTGATGGCAGAGTCACCTTCGCTAGGAAGATCTCCTGAAATGTCGAAGTACTCGCGTGTTTTGTCAACAGCCGCTTTGAATTCTGGATCTCCGATCATTATATCCGAAAACGGTTGGAAAGTATCAACAGAAAACTCTTCTTCTCCGTTGATTGTTTCTACGGCAGCTTCCATGAGAAGAGCTGGGTATGAAGGATCGGGTGGTGAGTGGAGGAGAGTGTAGATATTGTACTTGTCGTTCATTATCTGTGCTGTAAACAGATTTCCCATAATTATTGAAAGTTCTATAAGCTTGTCCTTGTTTGATAAGCCTATATGCTCTGCAACTGTATCGTTCGTGAGGTATGTGCACATTAATTCGCCTTGGTCGTTTTGATAAAATGAATATATCGGGATAACGCTGATTGCTGGGAAAATAAGGTAGTCGGAATCGCCAACAATACAGGCATCTGCATCACCGACAGCAACAATCTTTGCAATAAAGCGTTTCACATCATATTTTGTGTAAATCACAGGAACTTTGAGCTTATTTGCGGTTTCTGATATGAGTTGGAAGATGAAATGTGGGAATATGCCCTTAATATCGTTGTATTCTGATTGCTCCGCGTTTATTTTTTGAATATTTTTTAAAGCATTTTTAGCTATTTGATTAGAAACAGTAGTTTCGTATTGATTAATGTTACCAATAAGTCTCGATAATGGTAAAGCAATCTCAACTTGTGCGTTAAAAGACTTCAAAATTTTGAAGTAGCGAATCATCTCTAAGGCGTACAAATCATAGTTGCCACCATTCATAATATCATAATTATTCGATTCATTTTGGTTTCTGATGATGTATTCCGCAAGAGCAACACCATCAATAATTAATGAGTGATAAATATCTCGTTTTGGAATGTTTTTAGCTTCTATTTCAATTTTTGTTTCACTATCTGTATTGAATATGCCAGTCCACAAGCCAAAAACCATATAAAATAAGTCTTCTCTAAATAATTGTCACTTTTTTACAATCAATTCCGAAATCATTGAAATTGGACTTGATCATCATCAAGAGCGAACAAACTTGCATCTCTATGATATTCAAGTCATATGTGATCAATTCATTAAGAAATTGTATAGATATTTTAATCATTTTTGAAATCAATATAAAAATTGTTTAAAATTAAATGATTTTACACTTTCCTATCAATAGAAAAGTATAAATATCTTAAGAATTTTTATAATTTCAATGATAACGCTTCGAAATATTTTGGAATTTTATTTTCGTGCATCATAGCAATAAAAATTAGTTAAAGTTAATGTATTACAATTTTTTCGAAAAAAATAAGTCAAAATTAATAGATTTGTAAAAAAATACATCTTTATTTTCTAAATTTTTCTCTATACTTCCTCTTCTATACATGATTTGACCTTCTTGAGCATGATGTGCTTCAATGTTTCACTTGGAACTGTCATTCTTGCTTCAGAAATGAATTCGACAAGAACTTGTTCGTAATCTTCATATTTATTTGCTTCCAAAAGCATTTGTATGCAGTATTTCATATTCTGGAGAGAAATAATAGGTATTTCCTCACATAATCCTGCAGACAGTTCATTAATTGTTCCTTGGATATTATCAATTCCATCGAATAAATCAACTTGAACTCTTTCACAAACAATGAACTTAAACAACTTAATTATATACTTAAATATCTGTTCCAAACAGAATTTATGGGAAGGCTCTGTAGCAATGAACATCATAGTTGCAATAGTTTGCAACAAATAACCTCTAAAGAATCCTTTTCTTGCATCACCTGTCAAGTTCATATCTGCTTTAGTTAAAGCGTTTTCTATTGCAGAAATAGCTGAAACAATTGCTGTGTGGTTTTGTCCTCTAGCAATTGTATACAAGAACTGCAAATCTGTCTCCAAATTACATGGATCTCCAACAACAGAAGTCTTGAAATAACTTTGTAAATAGTTATTTATAACTCCTGGAATCAAAGAAACGAAAATTGGCTCAAATGTTTCATCCTGAGCAATCATTTCTTTTGTAGGATCAATAACTAATTCATGTATTACTTGTGCTTCTTCATCTTTAAGTTCTGACTTTAATAAACTCTCAGCCAATTGAAGAACTTCAATTTGTCTGATGTTTGGTGATGAATTCTTATAAATTTCCAAAAGTGGCTTGCATTGTTTGATTCCGCATGTCTTGAAGAGAATTGCTGCTGTCCTGCAGAACATATACATCTCTTTAACTTCTTCGTTTCCTGCGAAATCAGTAAATTCAACAATATGTGTTCCGAAATCTGTAATCAAATGAATTAAATCTTCAATTAATTTCGAAACAACTTTAGAAATAAATACAGGATCGGCTCTTGCGAAACCCAACAAAATAGCCAAAACTAAATGTGTGTGAGTAACAACATCCATGTTATTCTCATAGTTCTTTGTGTTGTTCCATCTTTCTAACGCCATGTCAACTAATTTTGACAATTTTTGTTTAGCGTGGTAAATTTTTCCGAATCCTTCGCAAACATCAGCGTAAATATCAGGAGCAAGCAAAACATTGTTCATTATCAAATCAGTCATATCAGGAAGATTTGTTACTAGCGTTGGACAGTTAGTTCCAATGGCCAAAATCGCGTTTGCTGCCATTTTTCTGAGATTTTCAGAAAGCAAACCAGAAATTGCCAAATTCAAAGCAATTGTTACAAACTGTGCTGTAAGCTTTTGTACTTTTGCATATGCAGCAACTAAATAAAGAAAAGCACTGGCAACAACTGATTGAACTTCTTTTGTCAATTTTGGATTTTTCAGGGATTTCAAAATGAAAGTTAAACTTTCTACAACGAACTGTCCTTCTACAACACTTCCTGTTGATCCTGTGATGCATGAAATACTCCAAATAAGTGAACAAAACACTTTTGGACTGAAAACAGAATTTAATTCTGTAAAAATTTTTGTAATTGCTGGCATAACTTTTTCAGGAGCCATTGTAAGAATTGCAACAAAGATATTTCTCATCTGTGTGTATGTCTCCATTGCACTCTCATCGAGAGATGTGTCTCCTTCGCCTGGAAGAATGAATCCTGGTGGTTGTGGCATGTTTTTCAAAACATAATCTCGAAGATTCTCGAAAATGTCTTGATACATGATGAATCTGTCGTGTGTAGGATCAGTTTTATGTGTATCAAACACTCCGAGAATGAATGTCTCCCAGAAATCAAGATGTGTGTCGAAATCACATTCGGCAATCTTATTTAACATTCCACGAACAAGAGGGAGCTGTTCTTCTTCGAGTATCTTTGCATGTTTGATGAGAACACTGCAGATTGAGTTAAATACTTCTTCTGAATCAAGTGATTCGACCATATTGCACAAATGAGTGAAAACAAGCTTGATTTTATCTGGTGGGCATCCCTCAACGCATAGTAATGTGCTAAGGATAGCAAATACTGATGTATCTGTATTCAAACCAAGAGAAATAAACTTTTCTTGATCGATATCTTCCCATTTGATATAAGGTAAGAAGGCGTCAAGGGCGCGCTTTGCATCGTTGTTTGGTACTGCGTCAATGCATGCATTGATGATAGCTTTCTTCATTTCGATCATTTTAGTTTGTATGACTTTAAACTTAGATGGCGTGATTTTGGATGAGTCAGAATCTGTAACTAGGAGAATAAAGTTTGCAAGAACACCAAAGTTAGCTGCTGGATTAGATAATAAATTTTCGAAAAAGTCTGGCCATTTTTCAGGGAAATCTTTTGTGGCAATAGTAGCTAAAATGTTTGCTAATTGATTATTAATAGGAGTACTGTATGCTTGAATATGGCCAAAAATGAAATTGCGAATTCCTTCCTTGAATTCGGCACTATAAACATCCCAATTCTTTGAAACACCTATATCAAGTATTTTGCAAGCAATGGATTGTGTTTGAGCTGAATTGACATCAAATAATCGCTCAGCATATTGAATTGCGTCATCTGATTCAACAAAATCAGTCACATACTGTAGAGAAAGATCCTGGCGAGAGTTTCGTGGATCATATGCTTCGCTGATGCGTGTAATAAGATGGCTAAGGGTTGACTCAAATTCACTCATTTTTGTCTCAAAGATTTTACAAGATTTTAGGAAGGCACCATTTTATGAAACTCTAAGAATAGGATCTCAATATTATATAATTTGATTTTTCTTATATAATATATGTCTAAAAACTAATGTTTTATGAAGATAACTAAACATTAATTCCATCTTTTAGTAATGATTAATATCTTTTTAATAGAAATGTTTCTTAGTCATACTGAAGATATTCCATACTTAATATGACTTCATAATAATATGATTTCTTTCTGTTCTTCATATTCCTTACATGACCTGCTCCCATTCTAAAGCCCCTATAGTATTGAAAAAATATTCACAGAATATTCTCTAATTTTTAGGAATATTATGTGAATACAGATCATTTGTTATATCAAAATAGTATTATTGGTCGCTTATTTCTATGTCCATTCTCTCCAAACAGACTTCCAAAATTTGAGAGGAAATGGCCTTCCTTTTTTAAAGATGTCCGCTAAGCTCGTCAAGAATGCTGGCTACTTCTCCCGCTTCCAAACAAAGTTCCGCAGGCGGCGTGAGGCTAAGACTGACTACGTCCAGCGTACTCAGCTCATCCAACAAGATAAGACAAAGTATGGTGCTGCTAAGTACCGCCTTGTCGCTCGTATCACAAACACAAAGGTCATCGCTCAGATCGTTGTTGCCGAACTTACAGGTGATAAGACAGTCTGCCAGGCTCTCTCCACAGAACTTCCAAAGTACGGCATCAAGCTCGGTCTTTCCAACTACCCAGCTGCTTATGCTACAGGTCTTCTTGTTGCTCGCCGCTTCCTCACACAGATGAAGCTTGCTGATGTCTTCAAGACAGAGATCACAGAGGAATACCTCAACGATGAAGAGAACAGACGCCCATTCAAGGTCATCCTCGATGTTGGTCTTGCTCGTACAACAACAGGCGCTAAGGTCTTCGCCGTCATGAAGGGTGCCGTCGATGGTGGCCTCTTCATCCCACACAACGTCTGCCGCCTCGCCTGCAAGTTCGACAAGAAGGACAAGGATGCTGGCAAGGACCGCAAGGACGTCCCAGCTGAAAAGATCGTCAAGGGCAACCAGTACTACATCCTCGGTGGCGCCGTCGCTGACTACATGCGCAAGCTCAAGAAGGAGTCCGAAGAGAAGTACAACAAGCAGTTCTCCCGCTACGTCAAGGCCGGAATCACAGCTGACAACCTTGAGAAGATCTACAAGGATGCTCACGCTGCCATCCGCAAGAACCCAGCTGCTACAGTCATCGCCGACAAGAAGAAGCACGCTGAGGAGATGAAGCAGAAGCACGCTCCAAAGAAGCCACAGACAAAGAAGCTCTCCTTCGAAGAGAAGCGCAAGATCCTCAACGAGCACCTTGCTGCTGCTGGCCTTCCACCACGCAAGTAAATATTTATTTACATTTGATCATTATTTACTAATAATTTTTTGAAAAATTATTTTAGAGAATTTTTATAAACCCATCCTCATAGATTGAGAGACTTATACATCAATTTTCCAAAAAGTGGATTTCTGTCAGGTAATTCTTTTGGGTCGCGATAACTTTCTTCGTTTATTCAACAAAACAACAAGAGAAAACATGAAGGTAAACTATTGAAAATTTGATAAGATTGTTATTTGTAACGCAGTTTAGAAAACATATGTCAAATTGAGTAAATTTTAATCTTCTTTCTACTTTTCACTCGGAATTTCTTTAAGGGTGCACTTACGCCCCTATGACATGGCCTTCAATTCAGATGTTTATGGTTATTTTTCAATGACGCTTCACGCCAGTTGTCAAAGTCAGATGGGCGTAAGTGCAGCCTTAATTTTTTCAATTTTTATATTCATGAACACTAATTGTCCTGAAAAATATTTTTTTTATTTAGATAAATGATGACATTCTAATATAGATGTGCAAAGCTCTGTCATTGTGTTCGCATCATTAAATTAATATCAAATAATTATAAAATATTTATTCTTAAATGTGGAGTTTGTAATAAATTCGTTCTATATAGAACCGCATTAGAAAAAAATATTAGTTACTCGTAGCACCATGCTCAACTAGGATTTGGATAATTTCTGTTGACTGCATTTCGATTGCAAAGCTAAGAGGGCACATATTAATATCAAGAGGATTTCACTAAGTAATGATAAATATCAAAAGAAAGAATATGTTATAAAACAATGATAAATGTGAAAATAAAAAGAATAAATTTCATGTTAACGTCAGCGCCATGTTCAACTAAGAATTTGACAATTTCTATTAAATCATTTTTAATCGCAATAATAAATGGGCATTCATTAATATCAAGATAATCTCATAAAGCAGTGATAAATATGAAAAGAAAGAAAATATCATAAAACAATGATAAATATAAAAGGAAAGAGAATTCTATAAAACAATGATATATGTGGAAATAAAAAGAATAAATTTCATGTTAAGGCTCCAGTCCTGCATGATTGCTGCATATAGTTAGGACGAGTATCTAATAAGGAGTAAAAATATACCAATATATTGCACATATACCAATATTTTATAAAAATTAAATATTATCTATTTTTAAAATTTTCGAATTTGACTATATTATCGTTTTAAACATGATATATACTAACTTTACTATTTGATATATGATAAATAATGATATTTTAAAAATTGAAAATTTGGATTTTTAAATTTGCAAAGTATATAGTATAGTAAATTTATAAATGAGTATAATGCGCCCAATTATAACAATTTTCAATCATTTGATAATTCTATGACTATGGATTTTTGTACTTCTAATTAAAATAATGTCACTTTTTAATATATTGAGTTTAATTTTAATTTAAAAAATCGATTTGTTTATACATATTGGAAAGGAATTTTTTGATAGTATCTTTTGTATATTAATACATTATGACTTATACTATGTCACCATAATATAAGTTCAAATTTTTATCATGCACATCAATATAAAATTGTAATTCAAAAAACACCTACTTCTATCGTCAAAAATCCTCTCAATTTGAATAAATACATCAAAAATATCAAATTTGCAAACCGAAATACCGAAGAAGGTAGAATATACAAATAGTGTCGATAGAAACTATATAATTTTCTTTACAAATTGTCGAAGGGGAACTTAGAGTTTTTTCTTACACGTTGAATTATAAATCAAATTATTGAATGGATTTTTGGAAAATTGAATACTCAATTATCGAAAAACCGTTTTGACAAAAAGTGATTAATACAATATTGTTGCCTATATTAAGTAATTATCATATATGATTTTTATTATCATATCAATTAATCGTGCATGAAGTTATTCTCGACGCAAAAATGGTTTTTTATAGGGGTCTTGCAAATCTAATTCTTCTTTCATATATTTTTTAGAAGCAAACTCACTATATCAAAATAAACTTTAGTTGCATTCTAACAATTTGTCGAAGGGGAACTGAGAGTTTTTTCTTTATTATCAAGATATGACAAAAAATGTTAATATACAATTTTTTAATATTCGACATATATAGCGATAATGTAATATTATATGATTTTATTATATTATGATAGCATATATAAACCTTATCATATTATTAAAACTTTCACAAATCAAAAATCTTTAGATTCTGTCAAAAAGTGATTTGTCAGATTTTTTCAAAAAAACAAATAACTCATCTAGAAGAGATTGAAAATCAAGTTTACTAATAACAATATAATGTATCACTAATATGCTATAAAATGTCGTGGGCTTTTTTGATTATAAATAGTTTCACCAGTCAAAGTTGAAATTTGTCAAAATACCGAATTCTCAGATAAGATGAACTATAATAGTAATACTCAGTTTAAATATACAATACTATAGTGTATTACATAATGATATTATATACTAAAATAAAAGTATCAAAAACTCATATTGGTGGAGATATTAAAACTTTTAAAATTGAGAGGGTGGGACCGGAGCCTTAACGTCAGCGCCATGTTCAACTAAGAATTTGACAATTTCTATTGAATTATTATAGATCGCAATGCTAAGTGGGCATACATTAATATCAAGAGAATCTCATAAAGCAGTGATAAATATGAAAAGAAAGAAAATAGCATAGCAATAATAAATATAAAAAGAATGAAAATATAATAAAACTATGATAAATATGAAATAAAAGATCGTGCGATAAAATAATAATAGATATGGGAAAAAAAGGGAATAGCATATAATAATGATAAACATAGAAAAAAAGACAATTATATAAAACAATAAAAAATATGGAAAGAAAAACAATGTAATAAAACAATAATAAATATGAAAAGACAGAGAATTTGATAAAACAATGATAAATATGAAAAGAAAGAGAATATCATCAAATAATGATAGATATGAAAAGAAAATGAATGAGTTTCATGTTTACATCTGCACCATGTTCAACTAAGAATTTGACAATTTCTATTGAATTTATTTTGATTGCAATACTAAGAAGGCATTCATTAATATCGAGAGAATATAATAAAACAATGATAAATATGAAAAGACAGAGAATATAATAAAACAATGATAAATATGAAAAGAAAGAGATCTGTATTAAACAATGATAGATATGAAAAGAAAGAAAATTCCATTAAACAATGATAAATATGAAAAGAAAGATAATGTTATAAAATAATGATAAATATGAAAAGAAAGATAATGTTATAAAACAATGATAAATATGAAAAGAAAGATAATGTAATATAACAATAATAAATATGAAAAGAAAGATAATGTCATAAAACAATGATAAATATGAAAAGAAAGATAATGTTATAAAATAATGATAAATATGAAAAGAAAGATAATGTTATAAAACAATGATAAATATGAAAAGAAAGAGAATTCTATCAAACAATGATAAATATGAAAAGAAAGATAATGTTATAAAATAATGATAAATATGAAAAGAAAGATAATTATACAAAGCAATGGTAAATATGAAAAGAAAGATAAAATCATAAAATAAAGATATATATGAAAAGAAAAAGAATAAGTTTCATGTTAACATCAGCACCATGTTCAACTAAGAATTTGGCAATCTCGATTGAATTCGCTTTGATAGCAAAGCTTAGAGGGCACTCATTAATATTGAGATAATATCATAAAACAATGATAATTATGATAAGAAAGAGAGTTCTATTAAATAATGGCAAACACGAAAAGAAAAAAAATTGTATAAAACAATTATTAATAATAAAAGCAATAGAATTATATAGCGCTATGATAAATATGAAAAGATTGAAAATACCATAAAGCAATGATATATGTAAAAAGAATGAAAAGTTCATAAAGCAATGATATACATGAAAAGAAAAATAATTTCATAAAAAATTGATATATCTGAAATGAAAGATAATTCTATAAAACAATGATACACATGAAAAGATTAATAAGGTCATAAAACAATGATATAGATAAAAAGAAAGAAAATTCTATATAACAATGATAAATATAGATAGAAGAATAATTATAGAAAGCAATGATATATGTGAAAAGATGTTTAATATTATAAAAAGATGATAAAAATTAAAAGAAAGAAAAGATCGTAAAACTATGAAAAATATGGGAAAAAGGAGAATTGTAGATAACAATGAAAAATATTAAAAGAAAGCAAATATGATAAAACGATAATAAATAGGAAAAGAAAGAAAATACGATAAAGCATTGAAAAACATGAAAAGAAAGAAAATATAATTAAGTAAAAATAAATTTGAAAAGAAAGTGAGCAAGTTCCATGTTAACATCAGCACCATGTTCAATTAATAATTTGACCATTTCTATTGAATTTGTTTTGATTGCATAACTAAGAGGGCAGTCATTAATATCTAGATGATATCATTAAACAATAAAATATATGAAAAGAAAGGAAATTATATCAAACAATATGAAATATGAAAAGAAAGAGAATTGTATTAAACAATGATAGATATGAAAAGAATGAAAACCCAATAAAGCAATGACACAAAGCAATGTTACAAAGCAATGATAAATATGAAAAGAAAGAGAATTCTATAAAACAATGATAAATATGGAAAGAAATATAATGTGATAAAACAATGATAAATATAAAAGGAAAGAAAATATCATAAAACAATTATAAATATAAAAGGAAAGAAAATATTATAAATCAATGATAGATATGAAGAAAAAGAGAATTTTATAAAACAATGATAAATATGAAAAGAATAACAATGTAATAAAAAATAAGAGATGTAAATAGAAAAGTAATGTGATAAAATAATAAGTATGAAAATATAAATAATGTGATAAAACAATGACAAATATGAAAAGTAAAACAATGCCATAAACTAATAATAGATATGAAAAGAAAGAAAAAGCAATAAAGTACAGATTGATACAAAATGAAAGACAATTCCATGGGGTAATGATAAATATGAAAAGAAAGAGAATCCAATAAAAAAATGATAAATATGAAAATAAAAGGGAATACCATAAAGCAATGGTAAATATGAAAATAAAGAGGATTGTATAACATCATGATTAATATGAAATAAAAGAGAATTTCATTAAACAATGACAAATATGATAGAAAAAAATATGTAAATATTGCTGATATCTTCTCCATTAGAAAGTAAATAAGATGCAACATTAAAATTTCCATAATACATGCTTTCTGCAATTGAGTTTGGAGTTTGTCCATAATTTGATTTAAGATACTCTGCAATTTCGTAGTGTTGATGAGCTAATGCTGTATTAATCATGTTATCGAATGATTTACCATCTTCTATCATTTGCATAAAAATGTTTGTATTTCCGCCTTGAACAGCATATTCTTCGGAGTTATCGGTGTACTTAGCTCCTAAATTTTTCAAGTAATTGAAACACAATTCTGATCCATAAAAATAGCGCAATCAAATGGAGAGAATTCATGATCTTTTATCGGATCAAAATTAAGATTTGGGAATTTGCATTTAAGTTCATCAACTTTATCCCATGCAATGTAGTATAATGGAGATTCTGTAGAATATAAATTCAGAATTTCTTCTTCTTTCATAAATGGTTGGAAGTTTTCAAATTTGATACCTTTATAATGTAAAAGCGTTGCTAACCTCTCATTACTAGGTTTGATGATGCATGAGAATTTGTTTGATATATTTTGATAAAGTTCCGCAAATAATTCGATTTCTTTAGCACGAGATTTCGAAATATTATCGATCAAGTAAAGTACCATCTGGATGGGTACTTTGTTATTGTTAATGAGATCAATGATTTGCGATGTAGTTTGCAAAATATTATTTGAATTGAAGTTCCATATAGTTTTTGAAACTTGGTTAGGGTATGTGAATATTTCAATTGGCTTAAAGTTGCTGAAATCGTATTCACTTTCCTTTGTTAGTGGCTCTGAACTTAACATTTTATGAAAAACTTTTGTTTGTGTCACTTTTTTGGACAAAAATCAAAATATATAAAATTCAAAATTTATATAAATTTGCCCTAAGGTGGATAATAGTCAAATTTTTTTTACATTTTTAGTGAGCGGAACAGAGACACAACACGCTTTGAAATCACAAGATACATGGCTTTAATGATTAGAGATGCAATAATATTGCATCTCTTTATGCTCAAACAGATCCTATTCTGAATTACCCGAAAATATTGCAACCGTTATGCATTGCTACCAAATTTCTCTACTGTCCACTTAACATATTCATGCTAGGAACTCCAAATTCTTCAACTATTTACTCTAAAAACTTATAAACGTTCATCTAAATCAAGCAGCATTTCTCCTCGAACAGACATTGCAGAAACTTACGAATAAGTAATTGTTAGTCATATCAAATGATGCTCCTTTTCAGCTACTTGTTTCTCTTATAATTGTTCTCATTAGTAAATCATAACTTTAACTTTTGGAGTTTTCTCCAAAAATAGATACTACCCATATATCCGAGCTACCTGGATGCTAGTTTTCTTATATCTCGGATAGTGTGAAAATTTTAATTATAATATCTCATAATTTCCATTTAATGAGTTATATCAAAAATTCACTCCGTCAATTCGATTTTTTAGGTCTTTCTGGACCTTGCTGCATTATTTATTTTTATCTATTTTGTTTTGTTGTTTCTAAATAAATTATTTAAGTTGGACGAAAGGTGGACAATAGTATTGAATATTAAAAGGCGGTTATTTTTGAGAGAACTCATTGAATTCCTTTCAATATTGTCCACCTTAGGGCAAGCAGTTTAGATTATTAATAATATTGAAAAACTCCATCTCATGGTACGCGAAGATATATACCAATCGGATCACTCTAATTTCTGTACAGGACTCAACCATCACTAATGTTCAAAAGTATAGAAATTTAGTTGCATCTGAAATTGAATATTTGTTTCATCTAAAATATAGAATAAAAATCATAATTATCGAAATATAGAATAACAAAATAATCGTATAGATAATTCCCTCTTTATATATTTTGATTTTTGGTGTAAAAGTGATAGGAAATGTCCTCAAAGTAATAAAATATTGTGATTTTTCATGTTCATATATTATCATCAGACGATATAGATAGTACTTCATTCACAAGATGTTCAATAAAGCATAATATATTTTTAACCATAAATCTTTTTCAAATCATTAAGGGATCACTAGCTTAGCTTTTCCCTATGATAGAAATGATATTTTTAAGAATAGACCTAAATACATCATACTCTATCTTTTCACCATTTTAACATCCAAAAAAATCTCGAGAAGCAGACTCAAGGAATAAGCTAGTGATCTTTAAACAAAATAACTCAAAAGAATCTAATCAGACGATAATGATAATACTCCATTGTTATCATCTATTCAATAGGTAAAAAAATTACAAGAAGTCCAATAAAACATAATCTATTTTTTAGGGTAAATAAATCATTACACAAAATAATAAATAAAAAGTATCTAATCCCATTCGCTTGTAATTCTCTTATCATATTCGCTGCAAAGTCTGTTGAGCATGCAAACAGCCGAAGAAAACACAGACAAATACTGATTTTCTTCAGCAGTCAAAAGAGTGTCAACAGAATTATTTCCAAGAATGAAATGCGAAATGAACTTGTTTGTTCCGTATATATGATTCATTTTTGTCATAATCATAACAAGTAAAATAACTGTGTCAAATGACAAATCCTTACAATTCTTTGTCAATTCTGTAACAGTTGTAATCATTTCTACAACATAATACAACATGACAGAAATACCACTCGAAACTTTGATGTGGCCAAGCAAATCTGCTGCACGCTCGATATAAACACGACGTAATTCAAATGACATCTTCCATGAACTTGTTACTTTTTCGATCATTTCTTTTTGGTGACTTTTCAGAATTTGGTTTATAATTGTTGAATTTTTCCAAACACTTTTTTCACCTTTTATGAACGAAAGAACTGTTACATGGTCAGTCATCTTAAAGAACATTACTCTTGCTATCAGAACAGTTTGGTTTGCCGTCATTCCCAAGTTTCCACATACTGTTTCTGTCTCTCTAAGAAGCAAACTCGTGGAATTATTAAAAGTGTCAATATTTGTTAAAAACAAATGAGAAGGAAACATAGCCATTTGGAACGATTGTTGTAAGTTCTCGTGAACTAATGTCAACGCTATATTATAGAGCAAATAACTCTGCACGTTCTCCCTCATCGATAAAACCATCTTCAAAGCGTCAGAGATTCTTTGATGCTGTGTATCAATCGCGGAACTTCTGTCTGCTGCTTCCATCGCTCGAGTGTTTCTCATCTCTGTAACAGCGTCGATTCTTGGAAGAAGGGATTCAATGGGTCCGGAACTGTGTACTGCATAATACAAGACGGAATCGGCTTCAACAATGTCTTTGGGATCAAGAAAATGAGGTGTCAAAATTCTCATTTGTTCCAAAAATGAAACAGCATCAGTCGGATGCAAATAATCAATGAAATTAGTGAAAGACGGCAATGTTGCAATGGAATCATAGAATGCTTCGGCAAAAGGATCTAATCTATTGTTCGTATTCTTGTCTTCAACGACATTAAAAAGACTTTGCTGCCTCATTAATTTTGCTGCAGCAGTGATTTCTTTTTGTCGTTGTAAAACAATGCGAAAATGCTCTAACGCGGCTTCTGTAAGTTTAGGAATATTTCCTAAACGTGACATCGATGATTTGAACGCGGAATCTTTGAATTCTTCGGGTAAACTCAAAGCGGCTAAATGTAATTCAACGATATCTCTGCCGGTAATGACGAGCTCTTTAGGGAAATGAGGGTTGGTGAAAATAAGCTCTTTCTCGGACATCATGGACGTGTTTATGATGCTGTTATCGGTTAAGTGGTCGAGAAAAGTGGTGAAGTCAATTTCGACGAAATCTGGAATGGTGTCGAGAATTTTCTTGAGAGGAGAAAGGAAGGAGGATGGAAGAGCAGTCATGTACTTCACTTTGAATACGGTTGCAATGTCTTTTAAGGGGGACCAAGCATTTGATTCTGGATGCCATGGATGGAGGCCAAGAACGGCTGGATTTTCAAGAGCCCTGTTAATAAAGGACTCAAAGAATAGTAGTAAACAAACTGTATCGCCTCCAGAAGGATGGGTTCTGATATGAGTAAATAATTTGGAAATTCCGGATGGTAAGAGCTCGATACTGTTGACTAATGAGTTGAATGTGTATTTTGCATGCTTGCAAATGGTTGTCCAGTACTTGTATGGAGCTATAATATCTGAATTCGGAACTTGAGTGAAATTATTGTGTAGTTCGCGAAGAGAACTGAGAGAATGGACAATAGTAACTGTTTGGCTAAGAGCACTTTGCAAATATGCAAGTGAACAGCCATTAAATAAATATGATGTTACAAATGAAGCGAATGGCTCTAAATCTTGTAATACAGATGTTTGGGATAATAACGGTGGTCTTAAATTTAATCCGATATTGTCCGGTGGGGTGTTGTTAATCGTAGTTTTGACTTGATTTTGAAATTGATAATCGGCAAATTCTTTTAATGTCAAATAAAGTAAATGATCTTCTTCAGAGCACCATCCTTGTTGGAAAAGTGTTAAAAATAATGAGTAAGCAAGATGGCCAACTGTTTCTGGATGAAGTTTCGAATAATGGTAAAATGATTTAGCTAAAACGCCTGGATTTGAACGCATGTATGTAATAAATGTCATGTAATGATTTAATAAGTTGCTTTCGAAAAACATTGGACAGTAAACTAGATTAGAAAAAGTTAATCCTTTAAGCATTTGCGAATCAAGAGATTTTTGGATATCAAGGACTTCATTTTTAATTATTTGTGATCTAACAAGTGATAATAAACGCAGTTCGCACATAACATCACTTGAGAAATTCAACATTTCGTTTGTTAACTGCGCCTCTTTGTCACTCTGCGATTCAAGAAGCTCCTGGAAGCTCAGAAGCTTTGCCTGAATCTGTGCAAGAGTTGTCAAAGATTCACAGGGTTGATACATTGAAAACTTTTTTTTTACATGGCAGAATCGATGACATTTTTACAGCTTTGATGACCTGAATCGAAACTTCTGCAAATAATTTTCATGAAAATAAGAATAATTTACATAATAGAATATATTCATTAGATCAAATATACGTTTTGGAAGTAAATTTATCATTTTTATTTTTATCTTTTGGGTTAACTGTCTGGTTAGTATGCCAACAAAACAGGTATTATCAAAGATTGTGGATTTTGTATTGTCATGTGATATCTCTAAAAAAAATATGTTGAATAACCAATAAGATTAATGCAATTCAAGTGATATATTCAAATTTCATTTTGACACTCGCTCAAATGAGTATAGAAGAAGAATATGAATAGAGTTATCATTAGAATATTTTATTTTTCTAAGCATATTAAACTAAGCATCAGTGTGCGAACAGGAAAAAGAATATTCCACTGCTTAAGTAGAATTAATGTGATTTTATTGTGCAGAACTAAAAAAAATTATCACATATAAATCGTTGGAATTTCATAAGCGTATAAGTGTGTTTATTCACTAAACAATGTGTAGACAACGGTCAATTTAATTATGTTGTGCCATTCTTGGAACTTTATTATAAATCTCTTCAAGAAAGATGAGTTCGTTTTTTATTTTTGTCACTTTTCTGACAAAAATGAAATCAAGTGTTCAAATTAATGATCTAATTACTACACGAACAGATATGTCTTCAGAGATGTGTTCGCTAGCACAACAAATTCTAGAGTCAGTTACACCTTTTTATGAAGATTTGATCAAAACTGGAAATTTATGTTCTCAGGCATTTGAAACATTAGTTCAAATATCAAAGAAAATCATTAGTTTTGAAACAAAATTTGTGAAATCTTCAGTACAATCGCTTAATTCCATTGTTGATCTTTTTAATTCTGAACCTGAACTACGAGACTTATATAAAATCCTTGATGAAAACATTCCAACACCTGCAGACTTTCAAAAAATAGCAAAATCAAAATCTCACAAGCCATTTCTTGATGCATTAAGTTCGAAAAATGTTGATTTGAAGTTTTGGTTTAGTTTTCCATACACATATATTGCCACTTGGACAGTATTTTGGAAACAAATACTAGAAATCATACCTGTTGATGATTCGTGTTATTCGATTTATCAACACTGTCTTCTTGATCTTAATAAGATAGAATTTGAATCTCAGCATGCAAGAATTGCACAACAGTTTAAAGATAAGCTCACAAAACTCTTTAAACTGAGTGATAAACAAAAAGTTTTTATTCCTAAGAATTCTCCACTACTTTGGCTTGTTCCTGGATATCATGTATGCAAACCATCGAATATTAAGGCAGATTTATTTATATTTGAAGACAGAGTTGTACTTTGTCGCGAAGATAATCTTTTAATTTCATCAAAACTTTTAAACACATGGATTGTCAAGTCCCCAATGCATCCAGCACAACTAAACATTGTTGATGTACTTGGAACAAAGCAATCATTTGCTTTTCAGCCTGAAACAGAAAATGATGCAATTGCGTTATGGAAAACATGGGATTCTATTGCCACATGGTGTCCTAGCGATTGGAGCATGTTCCAGCCAATCATAATTGATCCAAATGAAAAAGATGAAATAGAATGGGAAACTGTTTATAAATGAGATTCAAAAAAAATGTTATTTTGTATTATAAATCGATTCGGTGTATAAATAAAAATCCTCTGTATGTATAATTTTTACAAGATATACTCGTATTTCTACTTCTTTAATAGTTTATGAAGTTTCTCCCTTGAGTGAAATTAACATCATCTTGGGTTGTTTCATTGCTAAGAGAAACATTATGTAATTACGAAATGAATGTTTTCTTAATCATTACAGGATAAACATTATTTCAAATAAAACAATTTATGATATAGGGTGTCCAAAGGTGTGTTTAGCACAAACCTGAATACTGCGAATAGAAATAAACAAGTTACATATATATAAAGTTTATTTAAATATAATCACCATTGGATTCAATCATGCGTTCGCAGCGATCGATCCAGGCTTGAAAGACACGCTTTAAATCATCATGAGAAAATTGCTCAAATTGCTCTCTTACAAAATTTTCAAGATCATCTGGACTCGCGTCCTTCAGCTCTCTTTTTTAGCGTGCCGAATAAATAAAAGTCAGAGGGTGCAATATCAGGTGAATAAATTGGGTTTGGAACAACTTTGACATTGTTTTCCACCAAGTAATTCATTACCTTATGACTTTTGTGAACTCTTGAATTATCAAAATGAATTGCAAACTTTTGTTTTTGTTGTTTGGATTTCTCAAACTCATCAGAATTGATAATTTGAGTAAGAACATTGTCAATTAGATACTGAGCATTCATCGTATTAGGTTTTTGAAGAATATCAATTGCGATGATGCCATTCACGCCCCAAAAAACCGACAACATCATCATTGGTGTGTCAATTTTTTTCTTCGGGAATGTTTGCGGATTTTCATCCTTCGGGATCCACATGATTTTGGCTTCTGTTGCATATTGAAACCAAGACTCGTCCCCTGTTACTAAAAAGCGAAACTTCTTGGATTGATACGCACCCAATATAGAGAGGAGCTCTTTCGAAGATTGGACTCTAGATTTTTTTTGAACTGAATTAAGGTTGTGCGGAACCCAACGTGTATACGCTAGTTTGTAGTTCAAATAATTGTGCAGATAATAACTGACTGTTGTACGTGGTATCTTTGTCATCTCCTCTATCCTTCTGAGTGATGCTCTTTGGTCTTCATCTAGCGCTTGAAGAATTGCTTTGATTTTTCTTTGATCCGGCGATTTTTTGTCAATTTTTATGATGGGCGCCTTTTTGTTCATGAAGTGATACATCCTAACATGATACGTTACAGTGGAATAGCTAGGGCATCCATACCGAAGCATTTTACCAATGTCTCGTAGATTTTTTTACAGTCTTTGCATTTTTTTTGCAAGAGCGAGGATGTTTTCTTTATGATTCATTAAAAAATGAAAAAAATCCCGCCAAAATTTCCCGCGAAACCGCCTCTTGTCTCAAAATTCATTTTATATCCCGGCATGGCGCCAAAATACAACATACTCATCATATACATATATTCATATTTTTTATTATATATTTATAATCAGCATATATCTCCTTTAATAGTCTCATATAGAGCGCTGTGCTAAACGCACCTTTGGACACCCTATATCTATCTTTTCAGGACAGACACTTGATCATTGGGGAAATTACATCCGTATATCTATATGAGGCATAACTTGAATGCGGAAATATGACCGTCAAGAGTGCGTTATGCAAACTTGTTTGTTGGTATGTGCTCTCACTCAGAATTTTGATTTTTATGCATCCGCAGCAACGATAAGTAAATCACGTGTCATTTTTAATCGCTTTCATCAAATAAAGTAGATAATATTAAATAGTACATCTATTAAATGGGGCGATAACGATTATTTTTTAAAAGCTCTCAAAAACTCATTAAATTTGCGAGCAATATTATACAGTAACGAAAAATTTTCATACAAAATGTTGTAAATATACTAATTGTTTTCTGAATTTATTGTCACTTTTTAAAATTTATCATGGAAAAATATCAAGATATACTCAATGAATACTACAATTTTATTCCAAAGATCGATCAAATAGTATCATCTAATATTGAAAATGTCGAAGAGGATCTCTTTTTTTCATTTAGATACTCATTATATTATCATAACATAGAAAAATTCCGTTTTATTGGCGAAGTTACAGGTCTAATGTTCAAGAGATGGAATTTGGCTTGCTATTGTTTTGAGGAATACATACAAATGTTTCATCCAAAAAGAGAAACTGTTCAAAAAGATTTTGAGTTAATCAAAAAATTGGGAAATGAAATTCTCAACTACTATCCGCACTACTTAAAAGATATTCAACGAATTTCAGATCTCAAAAATTTTGTCATGAGAAAACAGAAATCTCAAACATTGTGGGAAAAAGTATTTGGATATAAGATTCCAGATGAGATCCTTAATGATAAAAAATTAACAGAAGAATGTTATCCTGCACCAGATAATAGAGTTATTGAAGCTACTAATTATGTGTTAATGCGAATAGATCAAGTGAATCCGAGGCCAAGGGGAATAATAGTATGTGATAATTCAAGATCCAAAGAAAAAAATCAAAACAAACAAAGCCTAAAGCCCGAGCCCAAAATGAATAATGTTCAGATCGAAACATACATTTATCATGACCACAATCCAATAAAAAGATTATATCAACCATTAAATCCAGATTATGTTAATTGAATAATTTTTTTTAATTTAATTTAATGGGTGCATGCATTCATACAACGTCAATTTTAAATATTAATTCATTCTATACCCTACTTTTCCAACATTTAGAAAACATACATAACCACCTTCCCAGGGTCCTAAAATTTACACTTTTCCGATGTTTTGTCAGGGGCGCGAAGCGACCCAAAAATGTCGGAAAAGTGTAATTCTCAGATATATGATTATTTTTGCTTTTAATGCCGAACAGCATTTGAATCAAAAATAATCGTATGTCTGAGAATTTGTGTTTTTTGCGCACTGGCCCCATGAGTTTTTTGAACTTAGTTATTCAGCCGAAGTTCTTCCAGAAAGCAAAGGACAACGGCAGAACAAGGTAACAGTGGCCTATTCTGCTGCTTTTTGTTGCCGTTGTCCTTTGCTTTCGTAGCTAAGTTTAGTCTGATTGCATAAGATCAGACTAAACTTAGCAATTATACAAGGTACTGCATAGCGCTGCAGTAGGGTTGTTAGATTCCCGACGATAGGTGTCTTGGAAGATTTGCCTGGTGTCATCATAGTGTCTTTAAATCAAAAATTTTATTTTGGAGTTAGTTTTATTGATTTTTCAATAAAAAACATTTCTAAAACAAGAAAATAAAACGATAAAATATTTATATTTTATATAAGGATCTTATATATTTAAAATAAATATCATTTTATTTTTTTCATTGGTGTCTGTCAAACCATAATACACTATTCAAAAATTCAATGTGTCTTGCGGTTTCAAAAGACACCTTCAAATTGAACGATAGCACAGACACTATTGAATTTTACCCATTGTATTTAGTTTTTACCCTTTTTATTTTTAAGAATTAATGACTGAAACAGCCGTTTTGCTTAAAGTTCATTAAGAGAAAAACAATTCTTCTTCTTCAATCTATTGGCGCATTTATTTCTACACGCCAATAAGGAAGGGAAAATTATAAGACACCATGGTGTCTTCAAAACGCTAATTTTTGATATTTTTAACAACCCTACGCTGCAGGCTGTATATTGTTAGTACATGGCCTGTAGCGCCCTGCAGTACCTTGTTGTAGGAGAACTTCGGCTGAATAACTTAGTTATTCAGCCGAAGTTCTTCCAGAAAGCGAAGGATATTGACGGCACAAGGCAACAGTAGCCTATTCTGCTGCCAATTGCCGTTAATATCCTTCGCTTTCGTCGCCAAGTCTTTTGCAATGTCTTGCAATTGCAAAGGACTTGGCGACACAACGAAGCAATGCAGAGCGCTATAAGCTGTGCATCAGCAATGTATAGCCCATGGCGCTCTGCATTGCTGTTACTTTTTGGTAAAATGTTTGGGTATCATATTATACAGTAACGAAAAATTTTCATACAAAATGTTGTAAATATACTAATTGTTTTCTGAATTTATTGTCACTTTTTAAAATTTATCATGGATTTATATCGAGATATACTCAAAGAATACTACATGTTTATTCCAAAAGTCGATCAGATAGTGTCATCTAATATTGAAAATGTCGAAGAGGATCTCTTTTTTTCATTTAATTACTCGTTTTATTATCATTGGATGGGAAAATTCCGTTATATTGGCGAATTTACATCTCAAATGTTCAGGATATGGGATTCAGTTTGCTTTTATTTTGTGGAATACATTAAAAAGTTTCATCCAAACAGAGAAACTGTTCAAAAAGATTTTGAGTTAATCAAAAAATTGGGAAATGAAATTCTCAACTACTATCCGCACTACTTAAAAGATATTCAACGAATTTCAGATCTCAAAAATTTTGTCATGAGAAAACAGAAATCTCAAACATTGTGGGAAAAAGTATTTGGATATAAGATTCCAGATGAGATCCTTAATGATAAAAAATTAACAGAAGAATGTTATCCTGCACCAGATAATAGAGTTATTGAAGCTACTAATTATGTGTTAATGCGAATAGATCAAGTGAATCCGAGGCCAAGGGGAATAATAGTATGTGATAATTCAAGATCCAAAGAAAAAAATCAAAACAAGCAAAACCTAAAGCCCGAGCCCAAAATGAATAATGTTCAGATCGAAGCATACAATTATCATGACCATAATCAAAAAAGAAGATTATATCAACCATTAAATCCAGATTATGTTAAATGAATAAATTTTTTTTAATTTAATTTAATGGGTGCATGCATTCATACAACGTCAATTTTAAATATTAATTCTTCTATACCCTATTTTTCCGGCATTTAGAAAACATGCATAACCTTCTTCCCGCGGTCCTAAAATTGGTGTTTTCTGCGCACTGTCCCCATGAGTTTTTTTTTTTTTTTTTTTTTTTGAAATAGCGCAGATAGTTTCCTCATATATATACAAGGTCAGGTGAGTGGGGCCTCCAGGCACTTCGTGCCCTCTAGCCCTGAAGATGTTTAGTATAACTTTGTCCGGACAAGTAAGGGTCTATCGTCGCTACAGGAAAAGTTACAGGCGTTCCAAGGAAGTATACTTTGAGAAGCCTTCTTCTGGGTCGAAAACATTATATAATGTTTCGCTTTTCACAAATTATATATGTTTTCATGTTTTGTCACTTTTCTGTCACTTTTCAGGAAAAAACATTTTTATTATATATAAATGAATTTTACAAAACCACCGTTACAAATCTACAAATGTTAGACCATTCGGTAGTTTCTTAAGTTCTCTCAATAGAATATCTTTACATCTACTCTTATTTCCAAAGAAGGGTAACAGTGGTTTTGTAAAATTCATTTATATATAATAAAAATGTTTTTTCCTGAAAAGTGACAGAAAAGTGACAAAACATGAAAACATATATAATTTGTGAAAAGCGAAACATTATATAATGTTTTCGACCCAGAAGAAGGCTTCTCAAAGTATACTTCCTTGGAACGCCTGTAACTTTTCCTGTAGCGACGATAGACCCTTACTTGTCCGGACAAAGTTATACTAAACATCTTCAGGGCTAGAGGGCACGAAGTGCCTGGAGGCCCCACTCACCTGACCTAAGTAGACTGGACTTTGAGAGACTCTTTAGAAACTTTAGACGTTTTACATAACTGTCCATGCTTTTACTTTACATCCGATAAAAGTGGTTTGGAAACCGTTATGAGATGGTTAGAGGACATACATGACTATGAGTTTAGATATGACAAGATAGAATATGAGAGAGGTCCTATAAACCGGAGAAAGTGTCATATAAACATCTGTCAAAAACCGTTTTATACTTCACTTAAAATGCCACGTAAGCTACGTAAGAATATACGTAAGAGGAAGGGAGCATTGAAACATCCAATAGTAAAACTGACACCACACACAACAGTTGCAACAACAAATGCTGAATGACCCCACTATGTTGCAACAAATGTCAAGCAATCCTATGCTTTTAAACCGAGTTCTTGGTGCACAGAGTGGAGGTTTAAGAGCGGCACTTTTAGCGAAAATGGCAGGCTATGGTGGAGCTGCAGACGGAACAGCCTATAACCCTCAAAGTCAAATGAATTTGAGTTCACTCAAAAATCAAATAACAGATGTCAAAAAGTCAAACATAGACATACAGAAGCAAATAAGTGAAAACGAAAAGAAACTAGAATATGACAGACACACAAAGAAACTCAATGAGTTAAACGTAGAGAAAAAGAAGAAAGAAGAACAACTGAAAGAACTAAGTACAGAGGAATATGCGAAAAAAGTGTCAGAAAAAGCAGCAGAAGTAGCAAAAATGGAACAAGATGTCATAAATTTGAAAAACCATACTACTCAATATAAAGTACTGAAAGATGAAGAGATAAAACAAAAAGCCCTGAAGACATATATGGATAGCGATGAGTATAAAAAAGAAGTTGAAGCAAATGTAAAGGCAGAAAAACTTTTACAGTTGCAAAACCAAACCGTACAGTATGAAAACTTAGCACAAGAAAGTAAAAATAACGACGCAGCCATGCAAAAGGCAATGAAAAGCGCAGAATATATAAAAGCTAACAATGACTGGTTAGATGCCCAAGCCAACGCTAAAGCAGCCCAGCTTATAGGGTCAATAAGGACAAAAATACAAGCGGATGAAGACAGTTCAAATGAAGCTTTAACAAATGCTGACTTTAAGAACGCCTTCGAAGCTCTTCATAGTAAGGTGAAACAAGTGAACGACTTCTCATCTGGAAAGAAACTGAAGTCTGAAGGTTTCGACAAAGAGTTAAAAGAAGTAGCACAAAATATAACGAAAATAACAGATGCAACAACGAGACAGGCAGTTCAAAATGCCTATGACGCCGTTAGAGCAACTGTTGTGGAAAGTCAAGAAAAAGAGTTACAACAGACCAAAACAGACCTAGTAAATGCTTTCTTAAAAACGAAAAGTCAGGTAGGACACTATGCTGCAGATGGAACATATGTGCCAGCTGGTGGAACTTATATACCAGCTGGTGGAACTTATATACTAGCTAGTGGAACTTATATACCACCAAACCCTCCAAGAGAAGCACCTGCACCAGGACTACCTAGAACATTTACATCGTCACATGGACACAGACACAGGCATGCACCAAAACCAACACAACAACCAACAGTTCAAAACCCTGCACAACAACAACCACAACCAACAGTTCAAAACCCTGCACCAAAACCAACACAACAACCAACAGTTCAAAACCCTGCACCAAAACCAACACAACAACCAACAGTTCAAAACCAACACAACAACCAACAGTTCAAAACCCTGCACCAAAACCAACAGTTCAAAACACTGCACCACAACAACAACCAGCACAACAACCACCTCCACAACCAACAGTTCAAAACACTGCACAGCAACAACCACAAACAGAGCAAGGACATAAAAGAAGTAGAGAACAAGGAAACCAAGATTTCTTAAAAATGCTTAAAGAAGACTATGGTTACCCAGCTACTCTTGACTTTAGTGACAGATATAAAGAAGCTATTAGAAAGTTCAAGGAAGGAAATACTGACCCGAACCTATTTAGCTTTATGGCTCAGCACCAAATGGGATATAATTTCAAAC